GCAGTAAAACCAGCGAAACAAATGACAGCTCAGTTACCTAAAGATCGAATTGTGGAAACTCCACCTTTATACACAGGCGTGGATTTCACAGGTCCAGTTTACATCAAGTCTGGAAACGACATTTGGAAATCATACATCGTATTGTTTACGTGCGCTGTTACCCGAGCCTTACATCTGGAGCTCATTTCCAATATGTCTGCAAATAAATTCATTTTGGCTCTCAGACGTTTCATTTCGAGAAAAGGAAACTGTCGCACCTTTTATTCAGATAACGCGAAAACTTTCAAATATGCTGTCAAAGATTTACAGTATTTTTACAGCATAATTAGAGGTGCAGACTTTCAAAATTTTCTAGCAAATGAAGACTTGACTTGGAAATTTTACGTCGAGCTTGCTCCATGGTGGGGAGCTTTTTATGAACGCCTTATGAAAACCGTAAAGGAACCGTAGAAAAAGATATTAGGCAGAGCTCAACTGAATTTTGAAGAATTTATGACTGTGTTAACAGAGTTCGAAAATATTGTGAACAGACGTCCTTTGATCTATGTTTACAACGATTTACATGAACCTGAACCGCTCTCGCCGGCTGATTTTCCATTGATCCGACATAAAGATGAATATCCATACAACTTTGCTGAGATCATGAATAGCTCTCCAACAAGAGAATGTCTAATAAAACGAAAAGAATATCAGACAACACTTATAAAACCGTTGTGGAAAAAATGGAAAATTCAGTATCTTTTTCATTTAATAAATGCTCACTTCTTCGGTACACCAGAAGCCAAGAAAAATCTTAAAATTGGTGATGTAGTTTTACTTGAAGGAACAGCTAAATCTAGGTTCCTCTGGGATTTAGGTCGAGTAATTCAAGTTTTTAAAGGAAGTGATGGTCTTGTACTATCATGTATGGTAAAAACTAAAAAAGGGGACTTTAAGAGACCTGTGCAATTGATATATCCCCTTGAACTATCTGACTGAAAATGAACTAATTTCGTAACTTTTAATTTTATTTTTTATCTTTCATGTTCACTGACATTAATTTTAGATAATTAGTTTAATTATTACTAATAATTTACTATTTGTAATTCGAATTAATATTTACTTATAGAGTAACATTAGTGATAATTTTTGCAAAAATTATCAGGTGGCGAGTGTGGAAAACCCCAGAAATGATTTCTGTATCGCCGTTGGAGGCCGCTGCTCTTCTGAGAAAGAATGGTAGTTCAGTTTGCGACGTAGTAAATATTGAACTATCGATGCAATGCAGGTTGCTTTGTAAATAAAATGATTGTTTTTGTAGATTGCTGAAGTATTGGCTTCAATTAGAATTAAGTATGATCAGCTTTCTTAAAGAAGTCAGTATAACACAAATATAATGTTTTTTTTTACGCCCGCAGCACCGCAAATATCAAAGTGCTAGCAAAAGTTCAACAGGAATTATGGAAGATACTCTTAAACGAATTCTGAAGGGAGTTTTTCCTGGCAATGATGTAGAAGGTATCCTGGATCCTCATTCAGCCTACAATCTTTCCACAAACACCATTAATGATGTACCCTTTACAGCACATGAAATACAAGTAGTACTAATAACCCTCTCGACCAATAAAACCCCAGATCCTGATTCTATAGGCTATGGAATGGTCAGAGCGCTGCACACAGCAAGACCGAGCTTCCTGCCCATCTACTACAACAAGCTGATGAGCCTCGAATACTTTCCTAGGGCTTTCAAAACGGGGCATGTCATTCTTTTTTCAAAGGAAGGGAAAGATCGTAACGATCCAGCGTCCTTTAGGCCAATATCTACCGACGTTGGGAAAACTCTATGAAAAATTAATCATTCAGTGACTTAAATATCATTTGGCAAGTACCAGTAGCCTTTCAGATAAGCAATTTGGTTTCAGAGAGCACTGCTCCACTACTCATGTGCTTGATCGGATTCGCAAAGCGATCACGGAAGCCCAAAACAATAAGCTCCAAGCAGCGGTGTTGATCCTGGACCTGCAGAGTGCGTTTGATTCCCTGTGGTGGCCGGCAATGCTGAAGGCACTCCATAAAGCAGCAATCCCAATAATATTCTACAAATTTTCAAGAGCTACTTGAGCGACCGCACTTTGATAGCCGCACACAACAGAGGAATCCTCTACAAAAAACAAGTACGAGGCTGTCCGCAGGTATCATGTGCAGGTCCAGATCTCTGGAACATCACTTTTAATTCAATTTTACAAGCTGCCTGGCGTCTACACACTGAGGTGATAGCCTTCGCCGACGATGCCACCTTCGTAGTTTGTGGTAAGTCTGGGAACATCCTTCAAAACAACTGCAACAAGACAATCTCCCTTTTCGCCAATCTCTATGCAGAGAAAAAACTAAAAATCTCAGAAGCAAAGTCGAAATATATTGTGTTCCATAAGCTGGGGCAAACTTTAGTTAGAAACCCGTGCATTGCAATGGCAGGCAGAACGATCAAGAGGGTAAATGAGTTGAAACTTCTCGGAATGGTTTTGGATGAAAACTTTCCTGGGTCCCACACCTCAAACAGCAACGACAAAAAGCCCATCACATAGCTAATGGCCTGCGGAAAATGCAGGGTGCAAACTGGGGTTTACGCCCTCATATTTTAAAGATATTATACCAAACAGTTGTGAAAAAAATATTAACATATGGGGCGGCAGTCTGGGCCGTTCCAATGACCACCAGGAAGGAGCGGATCCTCTACAGCGCGAAGAGGCCTTTTGCACTAGCAATAGCAAGAGCCTATCGCACAACTTCGACTGTGTCTGCCTTGGTGCTGGCAGGACTCACTCCACTTCAATTAAGGGCATCCAGGAAGCAGTTGTCAACAGTCTCACAGCTTAGGGCAAGCATCACACATCGAGATGTAGCCTATGGCCCTCTAAACTATGAAACCAAAAGCTCAACTGCTGTGAATTTTCCTCACATCTTATTCACTCTTTCATAGTGCTAAATCTTCCCTCTCAGACAGTATATTAGAGAACAATTATCTCTTTCTTCATAGCAGATGAAAGAAAATGTTCTTGAAAATTGGAAAAAATAGCTTGTAAGGTATTTCTCCCTCCTTCCTAGAGTGCCTTCGTGGTGTATTGGTTCTGCACGCTCAGCCGGTATTCCAGAGGTCCGTGGTTCGATTTCCGGCGAAGGCGTTTACTAATATTTCATCTCTCCGGCCTTCAAAAAAAATCCTAATGACTCTACAGTGGCGCCCGAACTAAAAGGGTGTTGGATGATGATTCTCCACACCCAGGATTTGGCGATTGGGTCTCCTAAAAACCCCAGTCGCCCTTTAAAAGGGGGAGTATATAAATAAGGTATTTTTCCCACATTCTTGGCGAGCCTTCGAAATCCGCGGTTTGATTCCCGGCGAAGGCGTTGCTAATTTTTCATTACTCCTGCTTCCAAACATACCTAATGTCTCTACAAGCTTAAAAATGAATATAACTATATAGTTTTAAGGCATATGAAAAAGAAAGGTTAATAAATAAGACCGTTAAGAATCAACAGGCAAAAAAATCTAATTTTTCAGAAAACTATTTTTTCATTGTAGAAATGAAAGAAGTGATAGATGTTTTGATTTCGCAAATAAAAGAAATAAAGAAATAAGAAGATTTCGCAAATAAAAGAAATAACAAATAAAGAAGATATGCAAAGTAAACCAGATATTTACCGATCTTCGGTTTCTAATTTATGAAAAATTAATGTCTTTGGATTTAAGTAAAATTAAAGTAGCAGCTTATAACTTAGCACATAAATTCTAATTGATATCAATGTTGCAGAAATTTCATCAGAAATGTCTAAATTAAAATCAGACTATTCCAATAATTCGGAACACCAAAACAAGAACAAATTTATGTCCTTCAAAGAAAGAAAATTTACGTGTCTGATTTACTTCAACCGAATTCAAATATGGAAGTTGCATTAAGAATACTTTTAGCGTTGCCAGTAACTGTTGCTAGTATAGAACGGAACTTTATAGTAATGAAAAATTATCAAATATCTTTATCTGGCCAAGAAAACAACATTATTTCTATAGGACATGAGTCAAGTAATCAAGTAAATTTTGAAAAAAGTTACGGATTGTTTTAATCGTTAAAATGCAGAAAAATAATGCCTGAAACTTAATGTAATATTTTATATTAATTTTATTACTGTTTGTGCTGTTTCAGTACTTTTTATCTGAAAAGGTATTTTGAAAGTTTTTTTTTAATTTTAAAAACTATAAATCATTTTTCTGAACATATAAAGCTTGAATTAAAAATATTACAACAGCTGTGATTTAAAATAATTAATTGTGTGCAGTAAAAAATAAATTCATAAGCCATGAATTCCCTCTAATAGGAGCACTCATGTTTCCAGATGATTGTGGTCATCTCTAGATGCGATTATTGTAGAAACGTATGTCTAATACCGATGATTATTTACGTGTTTAGACATACTGGTCACGTTCAGATTAGTTGTCTAAGGGAGGTGGTCGCCACAAAGGGGTTTGCTGTAGTTAATTTGACTGCGTATAGGGGCGCGCATTTACCTCTTTGCCTCAGGTGAGAAAATATTTAGACACGTTTATTTTCGTATATAAAAAAACGTATAAAAAATCGTAAATTGAAGTAAATAAGCAACAGATATCGCGCAATATTTTTTTCTTCATAGTTTGTTTATGCACTTTCGCTTTCGTTATATTTCCCGCTTCAAAAGCCAACTTTTCTTGAATGCGTCATTACGAAGTTCATACGTTAAAGTTCTTGCTGTGTAATTAGCGGCAGAGTCCTTGCGATATACAAGAAAGTAAAGATCACCTATTTAATATATTAAACTTTCTCTTTTCTTCTACTGATCTTTTCACTGATTTGGGCATTACCTGTTAAGGACTCCTAGAATGCAAAGCCAAGCTGGATAGGATCCAAGCTGCGTATTTTTAGATGACCCCAGTTGCTCTTGATTATTTTTCTTTCCCATCACGTCTGCTGTGTTGATTTGAAAGAGGCAAAGTTCCTTCTTACCTCCCCCCCACAATGCTACCGCGAGGAGAGCGTTGTCCGATCGAACTTTTGCGGTTGGACATAACGAAGTGAAGCCGGTTTGAGAAGAGCCTGAAGCCTGGAAGGAGGGGAAGGGAAACATGTATAAAAAGGCTCATGAAAAAGGATTCTGAGCGTTTTCCTCTTATCGCGTTTTAGACATGACACCTTTCATCGTTGCTCTTGTTTGCGCAATTACCTTCGTATCGCGGACAGCGGGGCAGAGTAAGTTCATTGAATTCTTCTCTTGTTATATGATAAATGTCTTAATTTAACTTCTAATTCAACTCATTCTTCTGCTTCTTGCTATGAATTATTTCTACACAAATAACCTGTTTTCTGGATCAATGAGGACTCTTTAAATAAAATTAATAGAATCTGAGAAAACAACGGAATTAACATATTAATTAAAAAGAGCTTTCAATACTTAATGGCTGCAAGTCTTGTCTTTTTCAGCTACAAACTTCTGTTCTTACTACTTCGTAAGTCAGTTTCATTTTCTTCGATTCCTATCAGTTTTCTTCTGGTGTCTGAAACTAAATCCTAGTCTGAAAAATTAGTTACTGTTGTCATCTATATAGTTATCAAAAGTGCGCATTGTTGATTACATACTAATATATGCTCTATTTTATATCTAGGTTGAAAACACTTATTTAGGTTGTACGTTGAAATTTAGAAAGTAAAAATTACTTAACATTACTTCTAATTAAGAATTTATTTATTTATCTTGTAAAATACTGTTAAAATCTATTAACTTAAAATCGGTTTATTTATTTATAAAATTTTATTAAATTAATTTAATTTTAAGTAAAGAAAACTAACTACATGTTTAATTTCTTCTCAGTGCTAATGCTTAGTTTATTATGATTTCGTAAGTTTACCCATCAAACATTACCATTTATACTTAATTATTTTATTTTTTCCTTTCCACGATTTGTTGTGTTTAAACTTAATTTATAATAACAGAGGTTTCTGTTCCAGTCTGTTTGTTTAATTTCAAATTTATACTGATTTTGGAAGGTCAGTATTAGGATGGAATTTTATAAAGAACAAAATTTTAAATTTGACAGAATAGATTACTCATTAGATCTAAAACGATTTAATGAAATGCGCGCTTTTTTTAACAGTTAATGTCTTCCTTTAATTAAACTGAAATATATATAACATATGTGTGTATGTGTGTATATGAAACATTTTAACAAAACTTTGGTGAACTTGTAGATTAATGAAGTAATACAAACAAAAGAATTTGTCTGAATACAATTAGTTTAAAAATTTAAAAAAATAAAATATCAAAAAAAAACTTGAAAGGTTTCAGATTTTAAATTACGTCCAAAGGGTCGTTTTTTAACGTTTTGTATGTTACATTTATTTGTTAAATATCATGTTCTTTGCACTTAAACCATAAAATTCAGTTCAACAGAAATGTCGCAAAATAATTTTGAAATATCATATCTTTAGAATGTCCGACACACAGTTCCGCGTGCTCGAGAAAAGGTGCCCTTTCCCCCTCGTAGTGTGATGCCATTGCTCGCTTTTAAATCGTTGAGTTTGTTAATCAAAAATTCTTTAAAGTTTTACAAAATAGGAAATCGATAATAAAACAAATTCCAAATTTCAAATTTGGGCTTCCAGATGCCCATATTCGCTGTAAGATTACGTCATTCAAAATTGGATGGCTCTAGGTACCGTTGTTGTATCACAATGCGAGAAACATACACACATTTATGCACATTCTTCATTATTTAATTTCTTCAAATATAATACAGGACGATAGTATTTGGTGGCAACGATTTGAAAAGTGATACGCCTTTTATAGAGTTCCGACGCAAAATCGCAAAACGAAAGCAATAGTCCTTCAGGGACAAAGCCTCTTTGGACTAACAAGGCACCTTATTATAATACTATTTTATTTAAAATTCTTCACGCATAGAATAAATCTTCTCTTTTTCTCACTGTTTTTTAAAACAATAATTTAACATTTTCAAAGCTTTCCTGTGAAGATTTTTACTTGAAATGCTTGCAGAAATTCGACTAGGTAATTAAAAAGGCGTATTAAATATAAAAAAGTTGTTTAAAAGCATTTCATAAATTGCTCAACAATGTAAATCATAAAATTTTTATAACATGGGATTTATTTATCTTTATAGTTCAGGCCTATGATAATATATAAGATTAGGTATACTGGCAGACTGATTCTGGAAAAAACTTATATCTATTAGATTATCTTGCTGGATATCTATTAGACTCACTTATAAGTATCGTATTCAAAGCTATAAAATGATAAATGTTATTTTTTTTCTAGACTGTGGTGTAACTCGCTATGGTAATGCATCAGAAAGAATTGTCGGAGGCCGATTAGCATCTAGAGGCGAATTTCCATGGCAGGTAATTATATTTACAAGTTTATGCACAATAATTTGATTATTGTCAATTTTATAAATATTTATGCAAAGTGATATAATAAATAGAAATAAAATATCATTGAAAAATATGTAAGCACAATATTTTATAATAGCATTTTCAGTCAAAATAGGTATTTCATGAATGCAAAACAAACAGGAAAGCTTAAGATATTTTCTTTTCTAGCCTTGCAAAATAATGTAAGATTTTAAGGTATTTTTCTAATTTTATTCTCTTACTTAAAATTGATTTTTCACATTCACTCACTATTCACATATATTCATTTTTTGATTTTTTTTCAATCATCCCTATAAAATGAATACTTTGGAAATAATACGATATTTGAATGAATTCAGAATAAAATTCAGATCTGAACTTATCGAAAGTAAGTCATGATGTGACTGTAAAATAAACACCTCTAAAACTGAAATAACAGGATGTGAAACAACGTACTACTTAGATAAATATTCATAAAAAATGATAAAATTAAGATAACAATGACAGTACTCCTGCTGTGAGGCAACTATTGAACTGTACAATTAATTTGCATCTGCTAAAGGTCAAAACTTAGGTGTTCTCCATAAAACAAACATTTTCTTTCTTCACTCAACTGCGGATTATAGTGATGGAAATCGGTTTCGTATGTCAGATTCTTAGATTTTCCCTAAAAACCTTCAAGTGGTTTGGCTTTACCTTCGTAATTTATAGCACAGAGGTTGTACAAATTTCTGGATGTCAAATTATTATAAAGTATGTTATTGTTACTCCTTAATACACATCAGATAATTTAGGTAATGGTTTTTCAGTGCAAGATGTTTCAACACAATAAGTAAGATGTTCTAATTATTTCACCTATGGTGCTTTTTTTGTATATGAAGGTATGTGAAGACAAAAGATTTATCAAAATTATGTAAATTTTACATACATTACTTTAGTTTCAAAGTAACTACACAAAGTTATACAAAACATTCTGGAGTCATATTTCAGGAATATTGAAGAATTTAATGTTTCTGTCTGGAACTCTATTGAAGATCATGTGAAATAATTACGTTGTAAGGTGTTTTCTCCCTCTTTTCTGCATGCCTTCGTGGTGTAACGGTTAGCACACTCGGCACGTATTCGAGAGATCCAGGCTCGATTCCCGACGAGGGCATTGCACATTTCTTCAGCTTCTTGATATTTAAAATAACCTAATGACTCTGCAAAGTTCTTGATTTTTTCCATATTTTTATTAAAATAATTTGTTTTTGAAACTGCAGTTTTTATAAAGGATTGTACATCTCTCGAAAATTCTCATTTTCTTCCCTTTATATCTGATTTTGACAAGGAAGAAAGGTAAATATTTATGCGCTAACAGAGAAAATGCTTTTATACAGATGCAAAAACTGGGTATAGAGAAATTGTAGAGTATTTCTCATCGTATCATGAAATCATGCACGAGGTAACTAACTAAGGCTCTAAAATCTAGCACGAGGAACAAAAGCAAAACAAAAAGTTGATCAGGAGGACAAAATTAGTTCTTTGGATAAAAAATAAATTGAAGGCATCACCAAAATTACAAATTAGATGTTTGTAACAAAGAAAATAACAACATTTATCACGATTAGAAAAGCGTATACAGCACTAGCACACACGCAGAGCAGAAAATTTACAGGGAAAAAATGTACACCCGTAAACAAATCATACGTTGTTAGACAACAGATATTGTAAGACATTATCTGTATAGCAAAATAAGGTTAAGAATTATTACCCCTCAGCATTAAATATACGTTACATTGTTGTCTGGTTAGAAGCTTTTCCAGAGAACCCAAGATAAAAAAAAATTGCATGGAAAGACATTTGGGTAGTTAGTGAGAGGTCATTTTTTAACGATGTGTGGTTTTGGATTCATTACCCTAGCTCTATAAGGATGCACGGGTCATACAGTCAGATTGCAGAGACTATGAAGTTTTTATAGTGTCTATTCAGATGTGAAATATTTGAAAACGTGAAAAATTTGAAACGTTTAAAAGCAGGAAATGTAAAAAAATCAAATATTTCCTTGTCAATAATAAAAATAGGGATTTTCCATTGCTTGCTGGATGTGCTATTCACCACACCGTAAAGGCGTACATGAGAGAAATACCTTAATTCTTTCTGCGATACTTCGCTGTTATTCTGTGGTTTTGCTGCTTCAGCGGATCGGAGATCATTATTCTTATCGAAGCGTGTCCGGCGAAAACATCGCGGAGAAAACAACGCAAGGAGAAAACGTCGCGGTACAAAACATCGTGGGAGAAAATAAAGCGGCTGAAAAACTTCGCAGTTTGAAAACATCGTCGAAACTATCGTGGTAAAAAATATAATGCCTACTAATCATCGTATGACGATAACATCGCAGGCATGCGTTTTTTAGGCTTTAATAATTGTAAAATGTAATAATTTAATAATTTTTTAATAATTGTAAAAACTCGCGTAATGATTTGTTACCGCAAGATTGAAATAAGGATAATTTTTACTTTCATAATTTTTTATTAGTTAATAAATATTTGCTAAAAATGTAAAACGGAAACTTAAGCATAGAAAATTACTGCAACTTATAGCATTTAATAGAATTTTAAATTGACATCATTAACCAACAAAAGTCATTAATAAATTCTTTTTTTTATAAAGTTTTACTGCTAATTTTTCATGAAAAGTATAACCTAAAAAAGAATCAAAAAAAGAACGATAAGTAACTGCATGACCTTATCTATAAAAAAATTGCTACGTTAATTATCACTACTATCACAGCTGTACCTAATGAAAACTTAACCACCAATATACATCTGTGAGTTAATTTTATCTGTGAAATGCTTCCTATTTAGATTTAACTGATCTAAAATAATCAGCATATAGAAATTTCATGAGGACATCTGCTTATCTATAGAGCATTTAAAAATACACTTTTAATTAAAATATTCTCTTTTCAGCTGTCTTTGGAACTCAACCACCCCCAGAAGGGCACCATTCCTCATTTTTGCGGTGGGGTGCTCATCGATAAACAGTGGATTTTAACTGCCGCGCATTGCGTTGTAAAGTAAGTAAATTAAAATACATGTATCAAAAAATAGTCCTTGTTATGCAAGGGTTAAGAAATTTTACATTTTTTTGAGGTCATTACTATAATTGTAATTATTTAGTTGAAGGATGTCAAAAAAGATATTAAGTGTTCTGACAGTTGAAATAAGAATTGTTTTGTAGTATTCCGAATTAAGATATCAAAATTCTTGTCTCCAAAACCATTATATAGTATTTTCCTTTACTAAAATAGTATCAAAAAGCGTATTGATCAACACCCAGTGTCATTACTGGCCTTTGGGTTCATTAACCTTACGTCAGAGACTTTGATTTTCAATTTTTCTACCTAAGGGCTCTAAGTATTTTTTAGTTTCATTCTCTGTTAAAAGATATGATATGTTAATTCATTTGTGGGAAGTTTTTGACTTAATTCATTGTTCAGAAATAGTTCTAAAATGCTATTTTTTATTTACTGAAGCTGTAACCTGAGTAGCACTAAATCTGTTAAAGCCTTCGTCAACATATCGTTGTGTTTTATGTTGCAAAAACACTGATATGACTGGCAGGCATCTCCCTGTCTCTTCGCCTTCTGCTTATTTCATATATACTTATTCTTATTATAAAAGCCTCTCCAGTTCTTAGGAAATTTTATTTTTATATTGGACGTAAGCCGCCTCGTACTTGAAAATGCATGTAATATTAAAGAAAAAAAAAACCCTATGTATTAAAGCACTAAAAATGCACAAAATTTAAGAATTTAGGGAATATCTAAAAATAGTGAGTGTTCTTGTTAATAACACCTCTAAGAAATTTTCTTTGAGCTAGTCGGTTGCATATAAGCATGTTCATACGTCTTGCAATTCGAAATACTGATTAAAATTAATTTAAATATAAATTGCAAATATTTTTATAAATATACAATAGTTAAAACAAATTACTGGAAAAGAAAAGTGTAGAGGCAAAATTAATATAATTTTAAGGAATGACTTTTGCTATCATGATTGTATATGATCTATTTTATTTACGTAATATATCAAATGTTTACTATTCCGGATGATTTGTGTACTAAATTTAAAACAGATGTTATTTTAGACCTTAATTTTTGCAACAAACTATATCCATTATTATTTCATTTTATTTGTTTTTAAGTGTTTTTATGAATATAGTTCATAAACATAGTTCAAAGATTATTTCACTTGGGTTCGAAAATGAATTTTTTGTGTGAGCGCAAATATTTTCCGTTTCTTAATTTTTGAAAATGTATAAAGCACGTATCACTGACATATAAACTATAAATTTTTAGTTATTTTAGAAAACACGCAAGTCAGCCAGTTTTTTATTTGGCATTGTGGTATTTCACAAGCAGTCGAACAATTTGATAGCGTAAACCTTCTGTTACGCAATCTTACAAAGCTCTTGATGGATTATCCATCTTAACATACACAGTAGTAACATACAGCACAACAGTTTTCCCCAATACGAAGTTCAAGGACGATCATTTAACCTTTCTCCCCTCTATAAACTTCAGTTTTACCTTCTCTTCCCTCTAACCTTCACCTCACAGCTTCTATTCAGATGCTGCTTTTTTTGCAAGAGCAGCAGGTTTCATCCTGTTACACTAACGACGTAGGTGAAGGTCAAATGTTGTATTCGAATGAAATAGTAAGGGGAGTTAGCTATTCAAATTTTTTGCGGGAACGGAAGAACAGGAAGTGAAATTACCTACGATGCGTAGAAGAGTAGCTGAGCGAATCTGAAAAACGCTTCTTGAGAGTTGTTCAGATAACTAATGATGGAGTTCGGTAATGAAAAGGGTCTTGCCATTGATTGTCACGACTAAGATCTTGTATGGAAACAGAAACACATTTAGAAATTATTCTGCGACTGTTGCTCGATTAACATTACGAAATTATATCATCCTCTTTACTTTTCTTTTTCACTTCCCTTTTGCTTACTTTGCTTCTTTACCTGTTCTTTGCAAGTATTCTTTTATCTTTTATAAAGGGCAAAAGACATTCTGTTTCAATTAGCTTGCCACTTATTTGATAAATATAATATATATTAGGAAAAGGATAAGTGGCGTAGCTAGACGGAGGCGGTCTGCTCGAGCCGTATTTTTTGCGTGAAACAATTTTTATAGGGGTTAGTTAACCATTTCATGCACGCTACCTTTTAAAGTTGGAATTTCGACAAAAGAAAGGTAGGCAGTCTAATCAGGCCTGGAAGAGTAGGCAGGTAAAATTTTGTGAAGATAGCACTTATCGTTTTAATTGTGTGGGTGTTCCCGAAGCAGACACAGTGAATGAACAGAGCTTCGAAAAGAGTGCTGAAACGAGCATTGCTGAAAAGCGCGTAAAAGAGTCAGAGATTTTGCCTACGATTAAAAAAACACTAGATTCTAAATACCGCAGCCATATTAAGCATTACCCAGGGTGTGCTACGGGAAGGCCTGCTACTCTACACACCGATAAAAAAGCTTCTCTTGGTTATATGATGATTACATGCGTATAAATTAAAAGAAAAAGTAACTTGGGTATATGATAGTTACATTATACGCCTATAAATCCTTTTTTATTCAATTTTTATGTACGTACAGAAGGAAATGTGTAGGTGTGCCCAGATCGGGCACACTGTGTCGCAAAGGGTTAAGTGAATCGTCGAGGCAGGTGAAGAATAATTAGATTCTAAATTGCCATGTGGAGTTAAATTGAGAAGGAAAAAAAGTGTTTTTACTCTAGATCAGGGTTTTTTAAACTGTGGGTCACGGCCCCTAGGGTCGCGGTACCTGCAGCAGGGGGTCGCCAAAACTTTTAGCAGTTTGGATATTTCTTTAACTTATTATAATAATTTTGCAATTATCAAATATTTTTACACTACATATCTGAAAATAGATAAAGATAAGACAATACAGACAAAGAAAAAACGACTCATTCTTTTTATAATATATACTTTCATTTCCCTTGCTTTACACGTGACATTGCTTCATTTCGTCTTTTACATATTTAAAATTTTCACATTGTTCTATGTCTTAAAATTAGAAATTAAAGTTAATGACCTAAAAATGCAATAGTATATTACAGTAACAAGTGAAAATATTGACAGTTTCGCTCACACGTGTGTCGGATTTGCGCAATACTTATGGGGGTCCCACAAAGTTTTTGTAAATATTATGATGTCCTGGGGTTGCGAAAAAAATCTCAGTGATAAAAAGTTTAAGAAATCCTGCTCTAGATAAAGTATTCAAAGAAAGCACCACGTTATTTCAACGGCTACACACTTTTGTTATATCTTTATTTCCGTCCAAACTTTTAAATGAAAATTACGAATATCAGCTAAATTAAAATTACGTGACTTTCATAAGGAAGAATTCGTCGCGAAGAAAGAAGTACTTCAGATTTTAATTTCTGTTACTTCTAGAGAAATCGAAGCAGGAAAGTGGAAGGGCAGTGCTTTTGAACTTTCGCAGTTTATTCTAAAATGCAATCTCCAGAACAAAATCTCAAATGTATTTCTAGTGTAAATTTTTCTCTCAACTGCTATAGATGTTGCCAGTCGTGAGAAGCATTTTCTAAATAAAAATCATTTTAAGTAGTTAAGAACTACAGGTGTATATTTTTCATTTAAGAAATCTTTCTGTACTCTCTAGATCAGCGATTCTCAACTAGTGGTACGCAAAAGAAAAATAGGTCGTACGCAAAGAAACAAAGTATTTTTAAATATTAAATTCAAAAGTTAAATACCCAACATCATGTTTAAGCTTTTTCTTTCTCTAACACTCGTAAATTTATGCTATCTGAGCTTTGTTCAAGGTCTATAGCCGCTCATAGACTGTAAAGACGTTACGATTTTTTGGATGCCGGAGAGATGAAACATTAGCAATCGCCTTCGCCGGGAATCGAACCATGGACCTCTGAAATACCGGCCCAGCGTGCAGAACCACTACCCACGAAGGCATGCTAAGAAAGCGAGATAAATACCTTATAAGACTTTAGCAAAATAATCCGTTTTTATTTTCACAAACATTTTTTAGTCAAAAACATAACAAAATTTATCATAAATGATGTTTCTAAAAAGAAGCCTAGAGAAGGATGTTGTATTTAATAGGTAATAAAAATTAGTTCTTATAAAAAGATAATAGTATATCATTAACTCAAGAGTTGATCCATTCATTAGCTTGTCTCTCAGGGTTGTCCTGATGTCTGCACTTTATATCGCCATCATTTCTGGGCTCATATTGCTCTGTTTTCAATTAGATTCATTTTTACGTCGATTTTCTGTCTCTAAAAGCAGGTATTTTGTCTTATTGTTTTGTATTTTTTACTTTTCTACGCGACTTGAGAAATTGTTATTTGTTTTTGAAGACTGTGCGTTTAAATATTTGTGAAAAAATAATAAAAACAAACTTAGTTTTTCAAAATGGAAAAATGGCTAGGATTGACTAAGCGGAAAAGTGATGATTCACAGGTGATGGATACAGGACAATCTACTAGCACAACGATTACTGAAAAGAAAAAAAACAAAATGTTTATAGAAAATATAATGAAACTTATTTTATCATTTGGGTTTTACTTCGAATAAAGATGAAATGGATCCAATGTGTTGTTTGCGGTGAACTATTATCCAATTAAAGTCGTCGTTTCTTAAAAGATATCTTGAATCTAAGCATGCCGGTTTAAAGGATAAATCTGAAGAATATTTTAAGAGGAAATCAGCACAGCTGAAAAACGGTAAACAAGTAATGAAAGGTAAGCTTAGTTACCTAATGAGCCTAAAAATTACCAAGACTGGGCAGGCTCACACTATTGGAGAAAACCTTATATTACCAGCAGCTTAACATATCGTTTTAACATTATTCAGCGAAACGAAAACGTGGCCAATGAACTTGATAATATTCCGTTATCAAGTTCTTGATAATATGAACTCCGTTATCCGTTATCAAATGATCAAATGAACTTGATAATATGAACTCCGTTATCAAATGATACAGTAATTCGACGAATTCATGAAATGTCAAATTCC